TGGGTGCTGTCTTTTTGGAAATTTAATTTACCTTTTTTTTTTTTTTTTTTTTTTTTTTTTTTTTTTCTATTTTATTTTATTTCAATTTTTCTTTTTTTTCACTACCCTTTTTTTTTTAGGGAACATTTTATTTCTCTCTTTTTCTTTTTTTCGATTCCCTCTTCCCTTTTCCTTTTCTTCACCTTATCTTCTCTCTCTCTTCTGCTTCTCTAACCTCCGGACCCTTTACGTGTCGTTCCTGGCAGAGTTCGTATTTTATATTATTCCTTTTCATCCATTTGGAAAAAAATCCCTGGTCAATCCCGCGCATTGTTGACGCGAAGCAAGATTTGGCTAGCAATTTTTTCCCTTCTAGCAGTTGTTGTTAGACCCACCTACACGCCGCCTCCCTGGTGGATCAGAACCATTGACTGTTTTGACAACGTGCGGATAAAAAGAAGTTCCCACACAACTCGATTTTCCTGGTGGGTGACCGTGGGGAATTCACGATTAAGCATCTCGACCTCATCCTCATCTCTTTTCTGCAGTGGAGTCGCTTTTGATCCTGAACGCCCTTTTGTCGTCGACTGCAAGGATTCTTCACTGTCGGCTGGCTGAGGAATTGATCGCCCGTTGGAATTTGCTATCCTGACCACGTCCTTTCCGCTCCGTCCTATCTCCGCGTCGGGTTCAGACGATTGATTCTGTCCACGGAAAAGAAAGAAACAAGAAACCAGAAGACAAAATCCTCGACGAAGGAAAGAAAGGAAGAAAAAAAAAAAGGAAGGATACCAGGAAGACAAAGACCTCGAAGAGAAAACAAGGCAGTGATCAGGATTTCGATCGCGAAAAATTTTTTTCGGCATTGGCACGCTTGCTACACATCTCGCGCAGCCTCTCGTCAGAAGACAACCTCCCAGTGAAAAAAGGATTTCTCGCTCGGAAATCGATGATCGGGATACCGTGAAATTTTGCTTGCCAGTCCAGCCCTATTTCTCTTCTCACGCGTCACCCCTCTCTCCGCTTCACGATGGATCCTAGATCTCATCCATCACGGCCCCCATCCACCAGTCTCCCCCAGGGTTCCACGCCTCTTTCCTCGACACCTATCTCGAGTATGCCAATGCCCCCTCAATACAGCATGCAGCCTCAGTATCCGGTGTCCCAGCCGCATACCCTCCCCCCGCTGCAGCCTCATCACAGCCAGTCCCCTGCCCCTCATTCCTACATGGGCCAGCCGCCGTACAGGCCGGATCTGTCGAGGTATCCCACCACTACTCACGATGTTTACGCGTCTTCCACCGCTCCCATAATGCCTCATACCAGCGTGGGCAGCCTGCCTCCGTCGTCTTTCCTCTCCCACCCCAATCCGCAGGCGCAGCCTCAGCAGTCGCAACACTACCCTCCGCCTCACAGCGTGTTGCCTCCCGCGTCGAGTGCCCAGACCTACCCGCAGCCGATTGCTCCGGCACCCCCGCGGGACCGCCGTCCTGACTACTCCGGACTCCCTTCGGGCGCGTTCAGCTACTCCGATGGCAAGGGATCCCCTTGGATGAACCCCGACCCGGTCGCGGGCGCAAACGGTGCTAGTCCCTACGGTGCAAAGGAGCCTCCCCGCACTCAGGTGGTGGGATCCCAGGGCCGTCGCGGTATCCTCCCGAGCGTTCCCGGACGCGCCGCCCCCGTCGCGAATGGCGTCAATGGCAGCGCGAAGAACACCACGATTCCGGCCAAGGATGCTGATGGAAAATTCCCTTGCCCGCATTGCAACAAAACCTATCTTCACGCCAAGCACCTGAAGCGTCATTTGCTTAGACGTAAGTTATTCCTTTTGGTTTTGATTGATCCGAAGCCATGCACGCTCCGGATAATTGTGAAATCATTGTCCCTAACATATCTTTTTCCTTTTCTCTACAGACACTGGTGATCGCCCTTACATGTGTGTTCTTTGCAAAGACACTTTCTCCCGAAGTGATATCTTGAAGCGCCATTTCCAGAAGTGCTCGTTACGTCGCGGCAACCCCACCGGTGCGACTCACTTGTCTCATCCCCAGGCACATTTGAAGAGATCCCAAGCTGCGGCCGCCAAGCCGGTTCAGGACGAAGTCAACGCTGCCGTTCCCCCTCCCAATGGGATGCCGGGTGCGCCTTACGCTGACGGAGCCGTGAACGGAAACGGCATGGCCCACGGCCGACCCGGATACCCGGACCAGCAGCCTTTGGGATTCTCGATGTCGTCTGTCAACGGGATGAGCCGTGGACAGCCCGAGGATGCGTACCCCCCGGGACAGGCGCCTCAGCGTGGCCCCTGGTTGGCAGCTCCCAAGCAGAACCCCTACCTCGTTCAGCCCGGTACCGATGCGTCCGGCCAGCACCTGAACGTTGACCGTCCTTCACTTGAGCAGGTAAAACCCCCGGTCGTTCAAGATCCCAAACGCCCAGTTATGTCTGGGCACACTCCCCATCACACTGGCGAAATTGACTGGACTTCGATGTTTCAGCCCGGAGCTTCCGATGGTTATATAAACCCCGTTTTCCCTCAGTCCATGGCATCTGGCCAGGAGCCGATCCACGCTCACGTCGACGCCGAGCGGAAGTATTACCCCACCACCACCGCTGGTCCCCAGGAGGGCGGAATGAATGGTCTTTATTTGGCATCGACCACTTTGGGCGGCGACGGTAAGTAAAATCTCGCATCGGAATTTCCCTGTTCCTATTATCCAGTGACTGATCAACGACATTTAGGCACCGTTCAGCCCGCGCGTCAATAGTGGCGAAATAAAGTGGATGCGTGATGGCCGATTGAGTCGAAGCTCAACTTAACGATGTGCACGTTAAACGAATCGGAGCTTTTTTTCTTATTTGCTCTCTCTCTTCAACCCTTGAAAAATGAAAGCAGCTCAATCATCTTTTTTGTTTACAGGTTGTGTGCGTGGAACCGGCGTTCTTTGCGAACGATTAGCGATCAGATTCGATCTAGGAAGTTCCGAAAGAATCGCCTACGTCTCGCGCCAAAAGACACAAGAAAGTTGGAGAAAGCTTCTATCATTTCGCATGGACTAGGTGCAGTGAGCTTTCGGCGTTAGCTCATTCATATCGCGACATCGCATCATCGATTTATTACGAAAAAAGGCCATCTTTTTCTTCATCCATTGCGGTTTTTTTGTTCGGCTTGTTCTTTGATATTTTGCTATTTCTCTCGAAAAAAACCGTGCCAGCATCATTGATCTTGATTTACTACGGCGAGTGCAACTTTGCGGCGGTCCAGGAATTGTTTTGATTTGCTTCCATCCATTATGAGTGGGCCGATGGTTTGGTGTGTGTGGTTTTTCTTCCGGCGTCCAATCATAGACTTTGGGCATGTGGTTTCTTGATTTTGTGCCTTGCGTTTTTCTTCGATTTTTCCTCGTCTCTGCTGCTTTGCCAGTGTCAAAAGATCTTACGGGAGGGCTTCTGTCAACGCTTCGTTCCCCGTTATTTTTTCATTTCCTTCCTGTCGAATCCCGAGTCGCATGAATATCGACTGTGCTTGGGATCGTTTGTCTAAACGTCACGGCCGTCTCGATCCACATGTTCGTTTCTCAGTCCACCCGTGTAAGTAGCTTATGCATCTTCCCTCCGGACATATGAGTGTTTTTCTTCTTTTCTCTTTTTTTTCTCTTCATTTCTGGTTCTGGAGGAGGCGGGGGCTATGGGGAGATGTTGTATGCTTGTTTCCATTCCTACCTTTCCCTTTCTGTGGTATCTCTTTCTATCTGGTTGTCCTTTTCCCTTCGTCTTTCTCACCTCGTTCTCTTCCCGTTGCGCGTTGATTGCGAATCCGCAACGTGTTGTTTTATTCCAAACGTTTTCCGTGGCTGGGCTGCTCCTGGACGATGTGACGCCCCCCTCCAGCGAGGGCTTCTTTGCGTGTCCATTGACCTTGATGCAATGCCCCTGGTCAGCCCAAATGATGTTCCATACGTCGGTTTTCTGATTGTCTCTCTATTTGTGTCCGCTTGCATTTTACATTCTTGTCTTCCCTTGCGGAGGGATCGGACACCATCGGGGCCTGAGATGATTCTTGTGTTTATTTTTTGTACTCGCGCTCGGCCCGGGGGGACGATCCTATGGGGGACAGGGGATCAAAAGCTAGAATATAGACTTATGTGATTAGATCCAAGAGCCATAATGAGGGAAAGATTACGATCCAAGACCGGCGGATAGACGTAGAGCGAGTACACCGTAGTGACTACCTTTAATGATTTGAAGTAGAAGGCGCCCTTTTGTCCGATGCGACGAGATGAGGGCATCCAAACGGAGGGACGGCATGTGATCTCGGGGGAGGCTCCGGGAAATGCCGCAAACCGGGGCAAAGGAGTTTCGTTTCTTGTTTCTTTCCTTCTCGTCTCTGCCTTCTCTCTTCTCTTCTCCTCCCCTCTCCTCTCCTCAACCCCGCGTTCTCCCCGGATCAGACCAGACGCTCCGTTCTTTGATCTGCTTTACTTTGACTAATTTCTTCTCGCTGGTGCGGGGACTCTGCTTGGATTCCTTCCTCTCCACAGCCAAAGACGTCACTCCCGACTTTGCTTTGGCGCCGCCCGATATCCGTCTCTGATGATTGGTGGTTCCGCCTCAGCGGCAACGGGACGCCTCGGAGAATAACGACTTCCCGGCTTTCGACCTCCTTCGCTCCCTTAAACTCTGGTCTTCGCACTCCTCCAAGGTCCCTCCAGTCGAGGTCGCGTTTGCCTTCATCGTCCTAAGGGCTACGCCTGTCTATATCTAGAAGACCGATCGCTCACTGCGGTTTCATTGTCTTTACATCACCTCGCCCACATCACCAGTGACGCAAAAGGAGCCTCACCCCCTCCTCCATATCCCATCTCACTAACCCGTCCTTTTTCTTCGTCTCTCAACTCTACTCAATACCAAATCAACCAGACTGTAAAATCATAGTCCGACGGGGTGCCGCGTGAGTGTATATGTCCAGCAGAAGGCCGGATTCTGATAACCAAGACCACCGCCACCGCCCATCTGCCATGTCTACCAACAGGCCTTTCCTGGCCAACTTCCTCGCGGCCTTTCGCGCCCAGTCTACCTATAAGGCCTCCACGGCGGGCACGCAGTCCGCAACGGGACCGTCTTCTCAAATAGCCCAGAGTGCCCGAGCGATAGCCACCAAAGCGGGCAGCTCCGGCGCTTCGTCCCCGGAGCCCGGCTCCACGACAACTCATCACTATCATCACCACCACCACCACCACCCTTCCGCGTCGACCTCCTCATCCGCTCACTCCCGACCAAACTCCCACCCCCGAACACCCCTCAATCAGGCCTCTGCCGCCGCAGACTCCTCGGCAGCTCCGACCTCCCCGCCAGCAACCCCAGCCTCATCCTCCACTCCCATCCCCATAGCCAGCGGCCATAACCGCCAACGTCGCGGAAGCGATAGTTCCAATGGCTCCGGCGGGTTCCGGGATGCCCTGGGGCAGGAGAAGTGGTATATTGGGGGGAGGACGCCTGGCGGGGACGAGCGGTTCTATCGATTAGGCATGGTGACCAAGGGGGGTGGCCGGTTGGGTGGAAGTACACGAGTCGGAAGTATTGATCAACTGAGTTTGTAAAAACCATTCTGTACCTTCTACTCCGTACCCACTGTCCCTTTGCGTTTTCCGGTTGAACTTTTGTGTCCATTTTGAGGATCCTTGGAACTTACGACCTCTGCGAGATATCTTTTTCTTCTTCGTTTCTTTTTTTTTTTTATTTTTTTTTTACCACTTTCTAAAATTCCTCGAGGGATATGATACTGGGCGTTTGGAACTCGACTTCAAGCATGGGATGGCGTTATTGGCTGGTTGGGTCTTATATTTCGTTCTCTCTCTTGGACATGGTATTTGAAGAAGCTGACAAATTCTCAAAAAGACGATATGTTTGCCGCTGTTCTTTCTTTGCTGCTCTGCTGTTTTCCTCGGGATGTTCTTTCTCTTCTCTTCTCTACTCTGATCTTGTACATCATATGGGTGGGTTGGATGTATATCGTGTGCCTACGGGGCTAGGCCAGACATGAAGACAAAACCAAGACATGAGGGGACGAGTGGATTGTGATTCGGACTGTATGCTTGAAAAGGAGATAAATTATTAGATTTGGGGATTGACTATGATCATTGTTTTCTTTGATCCATATTCTTTTATTTCTGTATGTATGAGTGGAGATATTATTCATTCAGGAACAAATACTACATGGTACTCTAATATACACTATACTATACACAAAGACCCTAGAGAGCAGGAACCTGCTGCGTAACGCAATGCACCACGCCGCCCATCCGGGGCAGACAGTTCACGCGCACCGTCCGCACCTCCCTCTCCGGCAATAACCGTCGCATCGTCCGCACGGCCCGTTCGTCCGCCCCAGGGTCCCCAAACACCGGCATCACGACGGCCCCGTTGACGAAGTAGAAATTGACGTACGATGCCGCGGGATCTCCCTCCTCTTCTCCCTCAGCAACAACACCATTATTTTGCTGCTGTGTTGTCAGATACCTCGGATCTGGCTCCGCGATCTCATGTACTTCGAATCGTCGACCCAGGGCGTCTGTCTCGTGGGCTAGAATCGCGCGGATTTCTTCGAAATTGCGCCTCCATTCGTGTCGCGTGCTTTCCCTACTAGGAACAGCACCACCAGTAGAAGTAGAAGTAGTCTCCTCCATCCTCTCCCCACGAGAACCATAATCATAACTCCACGGTCTCGAAACAACCACCACCCCCGGCCTGACAACCCTAACTAACGCATCGACATGCGCATCCGTGATATCTAGCCCCTTACGGCCTGGAAACCAAATGAATTTGCGTACGCCGAAAAGGCGACTCAGTTCTTTCTCGGCCGTCGCTCGCGTCAGGCCCGGGTTGCGTTCTGGGCAGAAGATGCTGCTTTCCGTGGCGAAGAAGGTTCCCTGGCCGTCGACTTCGATGCCGCCGCCTTCGAGGCGGAGGGGGGTGGTTATGATGGTGGGGTTGGTGGGAGATGAGGATGAGGAGGGCGAGAATGAGGCGATGACGCGGGCTGCGAAATCGGTGTTTTCGGCGAGGGTAGTGGGTGAAGGGATAGGCCAGGTGGTCTTGGGGTTATGGGTATCGCTGGGGAGGGTGGATTCTTCCGGGAGGTCAGTGAAGATAGGGTCGATGTGTTTGTTGCCCCATTCGCAGAATGAAAAGTTGATCGCGAAACGCTGCTGCTGCTGCTGCGTCGTGGTTGTAGTAGGGTTTGGAATCGGATCCGGATCTACCGGACGGACGAACACCGGTCCTGTATCGCGTACCCAGCAGTGGTTCGTCGGACAAGGGATAATCTGGACTCGGGATTGGAGACCAGGGACGGGTCTGCTGCTCCCATTCTTTTGGTTGTTCTGGCTGTCATGGATAAGACCTAGGCGTTCGCTCGTGTTGACCCGCTGCTTGATCAGTTCCTGCGCCGAGCTGATATCCTCCGGACGGGTATACAGCCGGACGGGCTCGAATTCGGCGATCGTCGCTGCTAAATCGACGATCTCGCGACAGGTGCCGGGATGCAGGGCCTTGGAGACGGATTGGCGCGACGGGAAGCCGAGGATAGTCGCGGCGTGGGGGACAGATTCGTGAGGGAGGTAGAATCGAGCTGTTTCTTGTTGATACGGTTGGTGATGGAGGGCGGAGGTGTGGAAGGTGGATTTTGATCCAGAGAGCTAGGATGGGTGAGTTGAAGTACTTGATCATAGGACAGGGGGGTTTACCGTTGCTCTGGAGAGTCGCCCTATCCTCGAGGCATTGCATAACCGGCTCGCCATGTTGACGGGATGCAATTGACACGTAGAGTAACGCGAGCGGAGGATGAAGACTTCATGGAAGTTTAAGAGAAGTTACTTCGGAGTCCGCGGACTGCCTAGAGGGAGTCACATGCTTTCGTATTGGTCATTGTTTATCTCTTCACCTACAGTGTAGAGTCGGACATGTCACACTGGTCCGACGAGTCTTCTAGTTAACTATAAGAAGTAGATGACTACGAGCGATACTCATGTTCCAATAAGGTGCTCCCTCTCCTCATCCTCCGCCTCTTCCTTCTGCCCATTGCTGAGCCAGAGCATGGGAATCGCTGTTCCGCCTGCCAGCACTCCCAGGGTCAACGACATGGTCTTCCATCCATACTGATACTCCGAGAACCCACCCCACAGCGGTCCCAGAGTCAGTCCCATGAATTGGGCCATCGTCTGAATGCCAAACGCCTGCGCGACGGCTCCCTTCTCGCCAAAGACTCCCGGTTGACGGCGCTCCATATCTTCGAGAACTTGCTGTGTTTCGACAAACAGAGCCGGAATGCACAAGTTAATCAGGAGTCCGATCAGGCCGAGAAGGGCCATCAAAAGCACGACGTGGGATGTGGTGTTCTGCTCCACAAACCGCAGGCAGATGAGCGGTGGAGCCAGCAGCAAGAACCCCAGGAAGGTAATGAGACGCGAGCCGTAACGGTCCGACAGTGTACCTGTTCCACGCCCCTTGCATTAGCGAGGTTCAAAATATGCGGGGTGTCGGATCTGCATAAACTGACCGAAATAGGGTTCGAAGAGAGCAGTGATGGCGGAGGGCAGGAAAGCCATGCCGGCTCCGAAAGGTCCCCAGTGGAATCGCGATTCAACAAAGACCGGGATGGTCTACAGAGTTAGCACTGACGCCTACATCCACCCGGCAGTACGATCTAAGGGCGGCTTACTGAATCAAAAGCCGAGTATAGCACGCCCTGGACGAGAAGAGCCCACGACGAGATTATCACCCGAGGTTGTCGCGCAATGAGCAGAAGCGCGGGCTTTTGAGATTCGACAGGACCTGCATCCGACACGAGTCCGGGGTCTGCGAAGGTGTCATAGCCACGGTCGACTGGCGAACGGGACGCCGATTCATGGCCTCCTTCCGGCGCGTCGGCCGTCCAGCGCCGCGCGACCTTCTTCTCAATCACCGCAACTCGCATGATGACATCGATGGCCACGATGGCAAAGGCCATCCCGAAGACGGCCTGATACCCCGCTACGTCATATACCATGCCTCCCAGTAGGGGACCCAAAAGAAAACCCAGCGCGATGGCCGACCCCAGGTACCCGATGGTCTGGCCGAGATTGTCGAACGAAACCGTGTCGGTCAACAGGGACAGACCTGCTACCGAGACCATGGCGGTCGCACCACCTTGGATCAGTCGCGCAAGAACAAACAGACCCACAGTGTGAGCGATGGACAGGATAACCATGGAGGCACCCAACAGGATCAGGCCGAAGAGGTAGGGGAGTTGGCGGGTGGGAGTGACGTCGACCATGTATCCGAAAGTGGGACAGCAGACGAAGGCGACGGCGGCTTCGCACACGAGGAGCACGCTGACCCAGTATTCCCCTGTTGTCGAGGTATGCTCAGCTATACTTCCTGCAGACAAGAGTGAATTGAAGACATACGCTCTTCATACGGTACACCGGCTCGATCGACCAGGGCAGTCGGCATAACGGGGACGATCTATTCCGAGCGGAGAGGTTCAGCGAGTGGACGGCGCATTGGTCGGTATTGCAGGTCGCGGCTTACCATGGCATAGAGAAAAAAGTCCTTTGAAATGAACATTAGTACTAGTTTCGGTATTGACCGATGCGACGATGGCCATGGTTGGTGACTTTTTTCAACCACGAGCTGCCACTTACCGTGAAAAAGGAGATCCAGACCGTCGCGACGATAAAACTCGCAGAGGAACGCAGCCGTAATAGCCACGGCGGGCGTTTCTGCCCTCCTAGCAAAGGCGACAACATAGGAATGGGTGTTGGCGGGGGTCACAACGCAACGAGCGAGCTTGTGATTGTGAGCTGGAGTTGCAGAAGGGGAAAAAAGAGCTAAGACCGGCGATTGGGTGTGGGGAAGGATTGAGAAGCGCCCGAGAGCAAACAGCCTGACAGCTGGCGGACCGTCAGGTTGCATAGCATGGGCGGTGTCGGTGTTTGGGGGGGTCATTGGATGTACCGAGCATCCAGGTCTTATATAGCTTCATGAAGCAGTCTAGAATCGAAAGTGTTGATCACTGACGAGAGCATTTGCTGTCGCGGCGCATCCCACTTCCGGCGCCGTTGGTTGGACCGTTGCGAGTTTACTGTCAGTGTTGGCATGATTGACATTGTCATGATCTGTCACTGCTGATCTAACGAGGTCAATTGAGACCGGAATGAGTCTGGGGGGGTGAAACAGACATCACAAATGAAATGAGCCAAGTAGAGAGAGAGAGAGAGAGAGAGAGAGAGTCAGGAATCAGGAAGGAAGTAAGAAAGAGGGAGGTGGACAGGGACAAGGAGGGAGAGCCGATAAGATAAGGCGGCCATCGGAGGTGGCCGACGTTCGCCATCAGACCATCGCTTCGACTCTCGCCGTCGTCCTACGCCGCTCATCGTCGATTTGCCGACTATTTAACCTCGCGGAGAATTTCCCGTTTGTCCTGTCGGTCCTACAGATCGATTTCTTCTTTTCTTTTCGTCCGAGTTGCCCCTTGCTCGAAGCTCTCCTCCCCGCCGATCTACATCTACAATCCCATCCCTATCTCACCCTCTCTATCTTATCTCAAGACGAGCTCTCACCATGGCCGAAGTATCCGCAGCTCGCTACGGCAAGGACAATGTTCGCGTCTACAAGGTCCACAAGGACGAGAAGACCGGCGTGCAGACCGTGGTCGAGATGACCGTTTGCGTGTTGTTGGAGGGTGATATCGAGACGTCGTGAGTGCCCTTACAAGCAAGCCCTTGGTTCCCTCCGGTCTTTCTAGGGCTCTCTCCCTTGTCAGATATGGACATGAAGGATACCAGACCCCTATCAGAAGGAAGCAGAAGACAGAAAATGAACATAAACTAACACCCAAACCAGCTACACCAAAGCCGACAACAGCGTCATCGTAGCCACCGACTCCATCAAGAACACCATCTACATCCTCGCCAAGCAAAACCCCGTCACTCCCCCGGAGTTGTTCGGCTCCATCCTGGGCACCCACTTCGTCACCAAGTACAAGCACATCCACGTGGCGCACGCCCACATCGTCACGCACCGCTGGACGCGACTGACCGTGGACGGCAAGCCGCACCCGCACTCGTTCGTGCGCGACAGCGAGGAGAAGCGCACCGTGCAGGTCGACGTGACCGAGGGCCGCGGCATCGCCATCACGTCGGGCCTGTCCAAGCTGACCGTGCTGAAGAGCACCGCGTCGCAGTTCCATAGCTTCCTACGCGACGAGTACACCACCCTCAAGGAGACCTGGGACCGCATCCTCAGCACCGACGTCGATGCCAGCTGGGCCTGGAAGCCCTTTGCCTCGCTGGACGAGGTCCGCACCGTGGTCCCCAAGTTCGACGCCACCTGGGAGCGCGCCCGCGAGGTCACTCTGAAGACCTTTGCCGAGGACAACAGTGCCAGCGTGCAGAACACCATGTATAAGATGGCCGAGCAGATCTTGGCCTATCAGCCGCTGGTGGAGACGGTGGATTATTCCCTGCCTAATAAGCATTATTTTGAGATCAGTACGTTCTCTTGCCTCTTCCCTCCTGGATCCTTCGCAATGCCTTTTTTCCCACCCTTTCCCTTATCATACTGACTGTTCCTGTCTTAGATCTGGAGTGGCACAAGGGGCTGCAGAACACCGGCAAGAACGCCGAGGTGTTTGCCCCTCAGACCGATCCCAACGGTCTGATCAAGTGTACCGTGGGACGGTCATCGCTGAAACCGAAGCTGTAGACTGCATTGGATATGCATGACGGCTGAAGAAGAACTGTGCTCTGTGTTTTTGGGAGTTTTCAACGGTCAACTGTATATAGTCTGGGGCATATAAAGGCATACATGACAAGCATATGTTTTCTTTTCTCTCTTATTGTTTTGAATTCCCTCACTGGTTCGTATGGTATAATACAAAGACACCAATATCAAATCTGTCGGAAAAGATGCAGTTTAAATGTAGGTAGGACCTCGAGTCCCTGGATGGGGAGGACGAGACAACCCCCTAAAATGTATGAAAAATATGAAAAAAAAGAAACTCCCACCCATGCGCTAGCAAATCATCAAAAACGACAAGACAGGAAGATATAATCAAACAGCACGGTACAAGTATGTATACAATTACACCATCGAAACATTCCAGAGGCAGAGCAGGAGTTCGACATAACACAGCCTGAGACGGTAGCTACCTAAGGGGGGTATTAACGTCCCTTAAGCAGTGGCCTTAGCCTCCTTGAACGACTGCTGCACCTCCGGCATGTTTCCAATGACCGACTGATTCCCGAACTTGACGATGTTGGCCTTGTAAGGGTGAGCGAGACCCTCGAAAGCTGCCGATCAATTGTTAGCCAAAGCCCGAGATGTCTGCATTAATGCAACATTAATGAGGAGAGAAGGGAAGAGAAGAAGGACGTACTCTTCAACCGGGCCAATCTCTTGTCCCGCAAACGGTTCTTGGGCAGCATGCCACGCACCGCACGGCGCAGGACCTCGCCGCCACCCCATTTCTCAAACATCTTGTCCATGGTCATGCTGCGCAGGCTACCGGGGCGGGTGTTGTGGGTGTAGTACTTCTTCTGAAAGCGCTTCTTGCCCGTGGTGCGCAGGTCGTGGCAGCCCACGGCCACGACATAGTCGCCGCAGTCGGTCGAGGGGTCGTAGATGGGCTTGTGCTTGCCCATGAGGTGGAGGGCGATGGCGGAGGCGACGCGGCCGAGGGAGCGGCCGTCGGTGCCCACGTCAACGTGATGCCATGTGCGCGAGTAGGCGAGACGGGTCTGTTCAGTCGGGATAGGTTAGTCGGATGAGATTCTTGGGCAATTGGAAGCTGTCGAGGTATTGTACCTTTCCGATGGTTTGCGACATGGTGATGAAGGATCCGGACTGGAGCTGGTCTGGAGGGGGTCAAGACTGAATCCAGTCAATGGGAAGAAAGAAAGGCAATGAACGATATCACCCCAAGCAGACGATCTGATGCCGCAGCAAAATACGCCAGACCGTCGTTCTCCGAAGTCCGAACCGACAAACTCGAACTGACCGCCCCACGTGACCCGGGGCAAAGCAAACGGAGCAAACCGAAACCCTAGAAGCGGCACTAGCGCCAACACTAAGCGAAGGCCTCCCGCACGGAGTCGCTCCAGTCGAAGCAGCCCGTCCGAAAAATTAATCGAAAGTAGCCCGAGACGACGACAACTTCCACCACACTCCCTCTCCGACACCGATCAGGGCCATTCGATCACCATGGCTTCCGTCCCGAGTGTGCAATGCTTCGGCAAGAAGAAGACGGGTGAGTTTATCGATTTTTGCTGGTTTTGGTGATTGCGATGGGGTGGTTTTTGTGTGTGTGCGCGCAACTGGATGGAGACATGGCATGGGGGTTTGGATATACTGTCGAAATGGATGAAAGGCTAACAAGTATCTCTATCTAGCCACCGCTGTCGCCCACTGCAAGGTATGAGAGAACCGTCTTTTTGTTGAATCCCTGTGATTGTCTACATCGTGCCCTTGGGATTTTGAGATCGGAAAGTGGAATACATTCTACGATGTTGGGAAAGAGCAAGGAGGGAAATATTCGCAACGATACGAAAGAAGAAGAAAAAAAGAAACGAACGTCGAAAGAAGAATGAAGGAACAAGAGAAGGACGATCAACATGCGCGAAACAGGAACACCCATGATTTTATTCCATTCCGTCGACTCTTCATCCATACACCATCACCCACAAATCGAATTTCAACCCACCCGCACAAAATACAAGGAACAAGATAACTGAGACTTTTTCTCTTAACAGCAAGGCAAGGGCCTTGTCAAGGTCAACGGCCAGCCCCTCTCTCTGGTCCAGCCTGAGATCCTCCGCTTCAAGGTACGCCACCATCACTCCCAGTCCAGTCTTGGGGAAATTCGTTGCCAGGAAGAACATGAGAAAAGGACCCCGAAACCTAATATGCCATGGAACAATAGGTCTACGAGCCCCTCCTCATCGTCGGTGCCGACAAGTTCGCCGGTGTCGACATCCGTGTCCGCGTCTCCGGTGGTGGTCACACCTCGCAGGTCTACGCCATCCGTCAGGCCATCGCCAAGTCCATCGTCGCCTACTACCAGAAGTACGTCGATGAGCACTCCAAGAACCAGCTGAAGCAGGCTCTTGCCCAGTACGACCGCACATTGCTCGTTGCCGACAACCGTCGCACGGAGCCCAAGAAGTTCGGTGGACGTGGTGCCCGCGCCAGGTACCAGAAATCCTACCGTTAAACGGGGGACACCCAAAAGAGAGAGAGAGAGGGAAGACGGACGGGTATTCTTACATCCCGCCATCTTTTCTTTGTTTTCTCAATCCCCCCACCCTGTCTTTTACTCTCTTCTCGTCTGTCGGAGCGAGGAAAGGGAGCAAGAGACGAGGAAACGAAGAAAAAATGGAAAAAAAGATGTTTGTGCAGAAACGCAGAATGGTATCTACGGTGTACCGGGGAGGAAATCAAAAGGGAGAAAAGGAATCCATGGGACAATCGGGTTTTGGTTCGATTCTGGTTGCCGCTGTGGAATGTTGTTGCTTAATGGTGCGATACTAGGCCTGGCCTCGGCTGGATTTAGTATAGGCCAGCTATCTCAAATATCACCCAATTTTCTTTTCCTGTTCCTCGATGTGCCGGTGTGTGTCTGAAACGTCGTTCCTGATATTCATCCTGCGTTGTCATGCCCGTGGGGGGGTTCCCTTGTTTAATGGTTATCGGTTTTTTTGTCGGCTGGATTACAAACGCTCAAATGTCACGAATTCAAGAATGTCTTCCAGCAAAGGGGAAAAAAAAAAGGGGGGGAATGAACATCATGACCCTGCCTTTCTATGTGTACTGTGATACTCTGGGATCTGTGACTTGCGTCTGGGCCCAGGGAATTGCCGCTATTGCGTCGCCTCATGTAGATCGTACACCAACTTTCCCAATGCGTAATCAAAGCTCTTTTGCCATGCTCTCATGCCCTACATGTGGGGTCGATGATCCCCAGGCTAGACGTTAAGAAGGTGAAAGGGCCGGCTCTCATTCGACCAATCTTGCAACAATTATGAACATCCCTCTCATTCACTTCCACTACCACTTCCCTTGAAAGATTTCGGCAAAAGGAAAAGAACGCTTTCCTGTCAACGACCCTAGGCTAAGCCAATACTCTGTTGTCTGCCCAGCGGATACCACTCCCCAAGGGAGTACCGTTCAGTCCTTCACTGGCATCACTATCCTCCTCCTCACCCCCGTCGAGCGATAGGAGCTGGAAACGGTTGGGAATCGAGGCTGGCTTCTTGACCCCGGCTTGTGCGTCCTTCTTCGGTCCCGTGGGAATCTTGGGCAGTGGTTGGTTGCACTCATCGGGATAGAACCCGATTCTCATGCCTTTGTAAGTGAGCCGAGACATCATGCAGGACCGGGCAAACAATGCGTTGTGAACGGAGTTGGTGGAGATATAGGCATTTCCATTCTTGAATTTAACCGCCACCACAATAAGGTTATGGATATGGTCGAGATCCTTGCGAATGAGCCCCTCGGTGATATTGGGGTTCACGTTGTAGAGCATGATGTTCCTCGACGCTCCGTTGTTGATTTTAGCCCTAACAAAAGGGGGCATGTAGAACTGACGGTCATTCCACAGGATCTCCACCTAGAATGACATAGGTTAGTTAAAACGCGAATAATTATTACTTGACAACCGATCAACTTACTCGTTTTCCGGCTACATAATAACCATAATTTTTGGCATGCTGAAAAAAGCCTTGGGCGTCGGCTTCTTCAACGAACGAAATGCTGGCGGTGTGTTCACGAGCTCGAAGGTAAATATGTAGCAGGGCGCCGCCTCGCATGTTTTCGACGAGATCTTTATGGGTGACTCGATCAGGTAGGCCACGAATCAAGATGGTTCGTCGATCGGTTGTGCCAGCACATGATCCGGTGGTCCTCGAGGATTCTTCGCAATCGTCCTTTTCGTCACTGTCCTGAGAATCTATCAGGCCTTCTTCTTCCTCCTCGTCGTCATTATCTTCATCATCGAAATTTGTCGAGAGCTTATAGTTGTTGGAATGCTCATAGTGGTAGTCAACACTAGAGGAAACTTCACGACGACCATGAGGATTTCTCCGTATAAAGTCTTGCTTTGGCGTCTCTTGTGGTTCTGAGCCATAGATCAACACCTGAAGATGGTCAGCCTTCTCGCCCATCGTGCTGAGTGTTTATAGCCTTGTTCCATCAGTACTGACATCGAGATTCTCCGTCGATAATCCCCCCTTGAGAAGAGATTCTTTCAATCTATCTATCGATTAGGTCAGGACGAGCAATTAGGCAGTTTAATCCCGGGCTAGAGATAAACACATGGTCAGTCGCCTGATCAGTCACATACTGAAACGTTCGGATTCTTGAAGCTGTCATTCCACGGATCGTTGGTCAGCACTGACGATTGCCTATGCCATCGGATCGTGATCACGACTAACCAAATGCTTATATTCGGAATTGGGGATCGTCACTGAATCGGGGTTGGAGGCATTGTTTTCCGGTGATACGCGCTGTCGATCGGCCTCGCCTGAGCTTAACGGGCAAAAAAGGAAAGGAAAGGAAAAGAAGAAAGGAAAAAGGAAAAAAAAAGTAAACTATAGATCGCTAACTCGTGCGACTTACAGCTTCTGCTCTATCCACATTCCCTCGTTAGCGGGTGGGTCTTGTATGGGCCGATGTATATACGAAGTATGGCACACTCAAACATGGCATTACTCGGAAGACAAGTAGACGAATTCAGCATACTTACTGTTCTAGCAGGTGTTCAAGATGACGCTTTTCAACTGTAATAAATGAAGACATCGTGTGGCGATATCTAGAACGACGCTCAGTATTTGGTGTCTGATCCATTCATTCTTCCTGACTGTCGGCGCGAAGGCAGATGGGATGAAGGAGACGAACCGTGGATGCCAGGATCCTTAAATGAGACTGACAGGGGAAACCCGACAGTCGGATTGGAGAGGAAACAAAAGTGCAGGGAAGAGGAAAAGCAAAAATAGGGGGGGAAGGAGAAGAGGAAGAAGAAAAGAGGGAAAGAAGAGAGGGAAAGGGAAGATAAGGGACGGGGGAAAAGGGTCTCGTGCCTTCCCCAAACCCCCCCCAAAGGAAAATGAAAAGAAATATCCCAACGTCCCCCCACGTTGTTCATTCGAGACAGAGATCTTGACGTCTTGACCAGTCAACGGCTCTAGGAATCAATATGGATGGGCGGCTGCAGAGGCAAGACGATCAACCATATTATGCAGAGCTGCTCTCCCAATCTCCTGATCTCCATCGAACCCGCCAGGCGCTTTCCAACGGCCTCTCGTCGAATCGCTGCAGAACCGCTTGACGGTGGCGTTGGACAAGTCACAACACAAACTCAATTAATTCCCCTCCTCCTGGTTGATCAGACAAATCATTGACCACGACGCAAGGCGCGTCGCTAGTATCGCACAAGGCGATCCTAGGGTTTCTATTATTAACTCGGGCGACTGCGATGGCTTTCGGTTGACGTAGCTGGAAGATACTCGGAATATGTGCTTTAAAACTACGTCTAATGTCTTGGTCTTGATCCTACTTAACGTCCGTCGTACATGAACAGGTGTTCGACTACCATCAGCCTTGAGCTCTGCGGGCGGCTGGTCGGGCTGAAAATATCCGGATATACATCAGAATGACTTCAGGGCCGGAGAACGGCCGGAGAAAGACGAAGATGCGTACATTCCGGTCAGTTGTATGGGAGCACCTAGCTTCGCGGCTGATGCGCTGATGGTGTCTTTTCCATTCTAATCACCGCGACCCGGGGGAGAGATTAAATCATCATCTCCATTGCGTTCTTGATTGACCGCCTGTACAAAAACCCTTTGAGACCAGGGATTCAAAACGGGCCCACTACCAGTAAGGATGCAGCGCAGACACCATCTGTACGCCAGTGTGCCCCTCTTTGGTTTGTTCGTTCGTCATCCGATGGCACTGGAGCCAATTGATAACATTATTTGTGCACCGCCCAAATGACGATCGCTTGCAGTCGACTGGCAGGTCGAGAGGAACGCACTCCCTCAGCCAGTATTGCGATCCGCCTCCTCATCTGGTCGCTCTATCTCCTGTGGTTGCCCCTCCACGAACTGAGGTGATGCTTGCTCAGTTTCGGTCCTCTGTCGGAGGTCTCGCTCCTGTCGTCTTGATCGATAAATTTGACCGGCGTTGGCGGCCACTTGTACCATGAAAATGACCAGAAAAACACCCACAACAATGGTCTGCGAGACGTATGTTTCAGAATCCTGGCCTCGCATGAGCTGCTGCTGCTGCTGCTGTCTATCGAGAGATAAAGGGTGGGTGGGTCCGAAGGAAACTGAGACCGACATGAAAAACGGTGAAAAGTTCGTGAAAACGCCCGGAGTTGATACTGGAAGGAGCGATGGAGATTGTCCTACTATTAACACGAGGACTGCGAATACGAGGAGAGGGACGGCTAGTCATAAGGCAGACATCACCGGGGGTCGGGGTGGAATCAGCCTAGAGAAGAAAGTTTGGTCAGTATTCTCTTTCAAGCCGACCATATATCTAGTATCAACAGACCATTCTCCAGACTCCAGCTTCCGTGCCCATCGTGCGCTGACTTTGAGTCGCTGTCGAACGCTGGTTGTTGGTAAAAGCTCATATTTTTCATGCGCCTTGATAGGTAGCACGGTGGCAAACCACCAAGGAAATCGAGCAGCATCGTCAGGGATGCCTCCGTATGCCAACAAGACACGTGAGTTAAGCCAATGCACTTCTTGCCCCTGCTGCTTCCGGCAAAATGCCTGAGAAAGCTCCAGAAGTTCTTGCGTCGGCATTGTCTCCAGTAACCTCTCTCTACTCGAGGGACTTGTAGAATCTGTGATGGAAGGTGATAGCGGGACTGACGTCTCCAGCGCTTCTTGCCTCTCCTCCTGCGTTATTGAGATGTCATTCACCGGCCGTATTCTACCGACATAATACCCATCCACGATGTCCGAGCCGAGCACCTTGAAGCGAGACTTTCCTGTGGCAATCACAAGACTTCGTCCGTCGGGAAGCGGCTCATAGCGATCAATCACCATGACCGTGCCGTACTGCATGAATCGAGATCTTCCTAGCTCCCCCTGGATCCTGCCTGCGCCGTTCAGCATGACCATGCCGAACTTACGTTTTCTATTTCGCATGACCCTCCGGATCATGAGGCGGTACCGGGGCTCAAAAATGTGAATGAATGTTGGCACCGTCGGGAGAGCAAGCGTGTTCACAAACAAGGGGATGGTCGTCTCCTCATCAGTGCCAGCTACGTCCCGCGTCGTACCCTCGCATCGCAGAGCGACCTCCTCCGGGAAAAGCGTCGCCATGAGACTGGCGACTCGTTTATTGGTTGGCTCCGCCCGTACCGTCGAGTCCACGATGAGCTTTCGCCGACAGACCGGGCAGAGATCGGAATGGTTCGTGACCATCATGACACACAGGCGACAGAAAGTATGGCCGCAGGACGTCGTCAACGGGTCCTGAATGGGCGAGTAGCAGACATGGCAATCCAGTTCGTTCCGTATAGCCTCTTTGAGCCTGACCAGTGTCCCGTCGTCCCGATCCCCCTGCCCAAACGTCTCATATCTGACCCCGAACGCGTCGTAATCGAGCTGACCGCGTTTGGCCAGGTCGTAAGTACCCTCTAGCAGGCTACCATCCAAAGTTGCACTCCTTTCCTCAAACATCCCTGACCCGTCTCCGTGAGGCTCTTGCCATGCCACCCGGAACTCTCCGCCCTGTGACGTTTTGGGGCCAGCTCCTAGAAGCTCGTCGAACACTTCCACCAGACGAGTCAACAAGATGTCTCCCCCGCAGTCCCCGATGCAGTGTTCTCCCACGCAATCCGTATCGCATTGCTCCCAGTAACAGGTAAATCCTTGCTTTCGCTCCTCATTCCCGGGGTAGGTGATGCCCGTGCGTTTACGGATCGGCGGTAGACAGGCTCGACAGACGGCGTTGCCGCACGGAAGTCGGAGGGGCGCGCGTAATGGTCGCGAGCAGCGCGAACATTGTATCAAGCGGATAATTGTGTCGGGGGATAGAGAGGACGGCTCATCATTGTAGATCGATCGGGGGGACGATGAGGAGGATGTAGGGGTCGAAGGGTCGGAGACCAAGTGGTGGTTGGCCTGTGGAGAGTGCGGAGATGGCGCATCCATGAGGAACAACGGATGATCGGGCAAACGAACGCTGGTGACCCGTAGTACAGTACAAGAGGTATCCTAGAAATGTATAAATCAAGAAAACAAATCACTGGAACGGCCGTGCTTTTGCTCACAGGCCGATCGCATAATAAATCGAATCAGGAGAATGGTTAAGGGGGAAAGCGGAGAGAGTTGGATTGATTACTGGATTTACTTGGCGATGGGAAAGACGGGGAGTTGGTCCGTCCGAAGTCCGAAACGTGTCGGCCTCGGCTTCATTTGTATATCAATCATATCATCCATCGTATGTATGTACACTCCACCTCTTCTTTCCAGATAGGCATGCGGTTTCGCTTTTCAATCAAATACGCGGTAAATGAACACAGAGGAACCATACTCCATGAAACTTTCCTTCATCTTTAAAGATCCTCCGTCTCCTTTTCCTTCACATGAGAGAACCTGCTCGGCTCAGTAAATAACAAAGACATCGCAGAACTGAGCAGAACGTGACACGTTGATATCCTTTCATTGCTCGTAACCAAAGCCGTTCCAACACCGTCCCAGAGGGCCGAAGAATAATGGGACATAGAGAAAAGATAGGTGAAATGACGCAAATAAAAAAGATACGTGAGAATCGTCCAGAAACCCTCCAAACAAAAACCACAAGTCGTTCCACAGGGTTACAGGGTATAAGGCTCAAAGAAATAATGAAAACGAAAGCAAAGATAAAACACAGTATGCAAATAATCGAGGGTGGCAGGGAAATCAACTCGATTCTTGAGATGAACTTCCGTCGGACTCGGAATCAGACTCGTCTTCTAATACAATCCGTCTCATGACACTCTTGTCAAACAGATCAAGGGCAAAGCGACGGGCGGGAAGTCGGTAGTGATGGCTTTCTAGAATACTAAGGGTTTTGCGGAAAAGGTGTGGCTGGTGAAATCGTTCGGGTTGCTTCGACTTGATACTACAGGTTGAATGCGTCGATTAGTCGCGATACAGCTCGCGAGAGAGATGCAAGAAGCTCGCTTACCTGTGAAGATCTGCCGCCGCTCGCTTGGAAAGAACGGTATTACCCATGTCAACAATCAGCTTAAGGATCTTCTGGTTGACCGGATCGGAATCAAGAGTAGCCTCCTTAAATCTCTCTTGAGACGAACGCTTCGATTCTGGGTGTCGAGAATGAGAGGGGAATTCCACCTAGAAAAGAAAATTAGACACGTATAAAGCGATATCAGACAGCCCTGAACATACCAGGAAGAGCTTGTTGAAATCAGTAGGAAGACTCAATCCCAAAGAGTTGCCTTTCTGGTCAACAGCAGAGTCCCAGCCCAACTCCCAAAGTGCCCTGAGGCCATGCCGACTACGTGAAATCAACCCCAGAACAAAGAAAGCTGTTCCTCTCATTGTCAAAACCTCTGCACTTTCGGCCATCTTCACGATCTTTTCGACAATATCTGGCTCGAGAAATGGCGCGCCTAGCTCCATGGATCCAACGTTGCCGACGGCCCACAAACACCCCTTGACTTTGAGAAGGACCTCGGTGTCTTCCTCATGCAGTTGGAAATCACGGATGGTCCAAGCAAACTCGTTGAAATGACCTGACTGTTCAAGAAGTTTACAACCCTCGGCGGTTCGGGC